AAGAGTAACGCAATAAAGTTAAAGCGATGTTTATGTACAAGGCTATCCAAAACGACAGTACAAAACCAAGATACTCATATGTTGGAAGTGAAAATTGTTTTTTTAACACACTCAATAATGCTACAAGATGACGGTTATTCGAAAATCTTCAAATTATATCAAATTAGATTGTCCTGTAAGTTGCAACCTCAAAACAAATTTCTTACTAAGTAAGAAAAGCGAGAAAAAGAGGTATATACTACATCTAACTCTGAGCACCTATATGGTCACATTCACTTGACCGAAATATCGAGTGAAAACGTACCCTAGCTCAATTCATACTATAATCTCCATTTAATTACGCTAAGTTCCTTCAATGAGTTTGAAACAGCTAAATCATATGGACCCTTAATAAAAAAAATATAATTATGTTATGCTGCAAATTTAGGAAATTAGTGACTCTATTGGCTGCAGGTTGAAGCTTAAATTCTGGGAAGAAATTATAAAATTCCTCCCTAGCTGTACAGCAATTTCCTCATCAGTTAGTAAACCCTTTAGCTGACACGTTTAGAAATTATATCACTAGATTATCGTTATGAAGGGGGTACACTACTTGTCCCAATAAATGGAGACAAAGCAATGAATGGGTTAGAGTTGCTGACTTTGCTGAATTTCTCACACTTTTTAATGAGATTTGTATCTACAATAGTCAGTTTGGTTTAAATTTCTCCATATTAAACAGAAGACTCAACCTGTGTTCCACCAGTAAGGAGAATAGTTGTCGCCGCTGTCTTCTTCAAAGGCACTCGTCCTGCAGGTCGACTGAATTTCTTCTTTACCATTCGGATAAACGCCAGGCGGAGCCTTGAGCTCAAGAAGACGTACAGCCAAGGGTTTATGGCACTGTTGCCATGACCCAACCAGTAGCAGAGGTACATAGCAAAGGGAGGCAATGGCGGCGGATCTTTTATCACCTGATACAGCTGAAAGAATTGCGTGGGTAGCCAACACACGGCAAAAACAGCGACAACGATGACAAGCATTCTGACCACTTTCCTCTTGGCGATTTCCTGTTGCCTCTGATTTTGAGACAAATAATTCCCGGGAACTTGTCGGAACCACAATTTATGCGCGGTTCTAGCGTACAGGATGGATGTGACAATCAATGGCAAAAAATATTGGACTGCAAACAAATAAACGAAAATCCCCCCACGAA